TTCTCCAGCGTCTGCGTGGCCAAGCCGCACAGGTGGAACACCTCCGACTTTTTGCGGACAATCTCGCCGTAGTCCTCCTTCATCAGCTCGCTGTCCGGGACAACAATCAGCAACACCGCCGTCATCGTCATCATCATCATCATCACTGTCCTAACGATCATCTTTGGCAATCGCGAGAGCCTTCCCGTCTTTCGCCGCCATCACAGCAATCATCCTCATCATACAAGCAGCAGCATCCCAACAATCCTCATCAGCGGCTTGATCCGAACTCACACAAGACCCCGGACTCCTTTGCGGACCAGTTCTTGGTAGACCAGGAGAGACTCGGACGTCTTCCACAAGTGTCCGACGTCCCCCGCGAAGGTCTGAATCGAGTGCGAGATGGCATGGAGCTGTGAGCCGGGCAGATGGATCTTTGCGTACGAGTGCGCGCGGCGGGCACCTTGGCATAGCTGGCGTCCAGGTCCAGATCGTAGCGGGGCTGCACTTTGGGGGGGCTGGCTGCGAATGAGACGAGAAGATTTGAGACGCCGGCCGCCGGCGGCGGCGGCGACGGGAAGCCGTCGAGGCCGGCGGACTTACGGTCCTCGAAGATGAGTCCCACGGTGGCCACAGAGTCTCTGCTGACCAGCATGATGGGGTTGTCTCTGGTGGTCTTGGGGAAGGTCTTGGCCTGGCGGTTGGGGTCCAGGAGCAGGCGCCGCCCCTCGTAAATCAGCTCCTGGCTGTGCAGAGGGATGCTGCTCCGGCGGGACAGCAGCTCCTGGAACAGCGCCGCCCTGCGGACGCGTCGGCGTGAGGGACGCGGACCGCGCGCGGCGTCCAACGCGGCGCGGCGAGCGTTCTCACGTGTTGTACTCGTGGATGTAGACGTGGTGCAGGGTGGCCTGCTGCAAGCTGAAGACAAAGACCACCGCCCGGTGCAGGATGTCGTTGGTCTCGGCGAAGAACTGGTCGAAGCCCCAACACTTCTCTTGGTCGGCTTCCAGGATGTTGGCCAGGACCGGAGTCAGCAGACTCTGCAGACCCCTGAGGGACGACGAGCGGCACACGGTTGCCGTAGGGCGCCGCGGGGAGGCGGCCGACGTGCGCGACTGACTTGGAGAGGCTGCAGGACACGGGCATCTCGGTGCTCCACTCGATCTTGCCGTTCTCGCACTTCTGG